ATAGTGGTTAAACATTATTTCTGGGTGTTTCTGTGAGAACGTTTCTGGAAGATATTAGCATCTATGGAATAAGTAAAGCAGAAGGCTTTCCCCAATCCGAGTGGGGATCACACAACCTGTTGAGGGCCTGAATAGAACAAAAATGCAGAGAAAGGTAGAATTATTTCTCTCTGCTTGACTGTACGTGGGGAGATATTGATTGTCTCCTGCCCTTGGACAACGCCTTTATACCATTGTCACTTCTAATTCTCAGGCCTTCAGACTTAGGCTGGAATTCACAACACTTCTTCCCTGGGTCTCCAGTTTGCAGAGCACAAATAATGGGGACTTTTCAGGCTCCATAACTCCATAAACACATGAGCCAATTATTACACCATATATCTTTACACACACACACACACATATCCTATTGCTTCTGTTTCTCTAGATTGCCCTGATATACAATGCAATTTCTCTCTCATTTCCACAGACTCTATCTCTTACCCACAGTTAAATATTGAAATCATCTGTGCATCTTTTAATACTCTTGAAGTCCAGGCTTCCCTAAATAGATGGACTGAGTATGTCTGAGGCAGATCAGATTTCCATATTTCAAAACACATGCTTTAAAAGAAAATCTTATTTTAAGTAAGAGTGACAATTTTGGTGGAAGGCAATTGTGGAACAAATGGGAATTGAGGCCTGGTGCAATGATTCATGCCTGTAATCCCAACAATTTCGGAGGCATAAGCAGGAGGATGTCTTGAGCCTGGGAGTTTGTGACCAGCCTGAGCAATACAGTGAGATTCCATCTCTATAAAAAATTTGAAAAAAATAGCTGGTCATAGTGGTACATGCCTGTGGTCCCAGCTACTCAGGAAGCTGAGGCGAGAGGATTGCTTGAGTCCGGGAAGTCGAGGCTAGGGTGAGCTGTGAATGCACTCCTGCATTCCAGGCTAGGCAACATAGTGAGACCATGTCTCAGAAACAAAACAAAACCAAAAAAAGAAAAAAAGCACTTGATTTCGATACTAATTTATTCACTTTTGACAATGTAAGTTACGTGGATGAGGAAATTCAATGAATGTATACTGTACTATGTGAATGATCACATTTGATCCTGACCTACAAATGGGTAAGTCTTGCTTAATTGTATAACTAAGAATAATGGGTTTCAATTAAGGTAAATTAACATATATATAATACTATGTATATATTAATATATGCAGCATAAATCTGACAGTTACTTTCTTTTCAGTTTTAGTCTGAGAATAAGGTTGCTTTGATTATATATGTGACCTTTTAATAAATTCCTGTTTACTCCTTTATGTATCACACTAACATATAGGTTCTGATTGCTGACTAAATGGATTAAGGATAATTTTGTTCTCTCCACTTAGTATCTAACCCATGAAAACCCAGCATTTTGCAGTTTCTACTCCTTAATGACTATAGAAGAACAATGGAAAATATGCCATATTATTAGAGATCACATGTCACTTTATTATGCCTAAATTTTCCCTAAAGATTGAGACAGCTTAATAATTACAGTAAGTTACACATATATGTAAACTGGTCATACAATATAGCTATTAGGATTATGAAACTAGCTATACAACTCAATGAAATTTAGATATGGATATGTAATTCTATATATTAAATTTCTATTTCTATTATAATTTGCTATTAATATGGCTCTGCATAATCAACTTTCATGAATATATCAAAGAGAAATGGTATGATGAGAGCTAAGTACAAACTATGCAAGTTAGTGACTATGAAACAGCGACCACAGCAAGTCATACACCATTGTTTTAAATATTTTTTTTATGTTTTGTTATATATTTAAAGGCTTACAAATAAATCTCTAAATTTAGAAATTTGCATAGCTGTAATTTTTAAAACATTTCATTGCTATCTTGGTTAGCAGTTTCCTGTTTGTTTTTTTTTTTTTAATTTCACACATTTACACAAATGTTACAGTACAATGGGAGTGTCCTGGTATGGAAAAAGATAAATTATATTATATGTTTGGTTTTGGTCATGGTTTTAAGAAATATACTTCTTTTAGCTAATTTATTCTGAAAAATGGGAATATTATATTTAATATTTAAGCCAAATAATTACTTTTGAATCTATTTAAAAATATTGTGCTCATATTTATATCTAAAAGGTTTCTGTCATTCATTAATATGATTAAGATAAAACAACTACAGAAAATTGTTGGTAATGAACCAGAGAGATCATTTAGCTCCAGATTAAATGCATTGCTTGGTGATATTTCTGTTGCTTCATAGTATAATAACATATATTAAATGCTGTACAGTGAAATTATTATATATATAATTTAAAAAACATCAGTAACAGCAACAGATTGATATTGAGTCATATTCTGAAATAATATTCTTTTGCTCACACTGTGTAAGTATTTTGTTTCTGTTTATGTCTTTAAATGACTAAAAATAATTATTTAAAGCAAGAAAGCAGGAAAGTCATGGAAGGCACTGAGACAGAGGCTAATAATTTATGCAAAATTTTCTCTCACCTCCTTGTTCTTTCAGAATCCCTCCTTGAGATTTTGTGGGATACAAGATTATCCAACTAAAAACTACATTTCCTATCAGTAATCCTATCTTTTTTTTTTTTTTTTTTTTCCAGATCGAGTATTGCTCTGTAGCCCAGTGATCTTGGCTCACTGCAACCTCTGCCTCCTGGGTCCCAGTTCAAGCAGTTCTCCTATCTCAGCCTCCCAAGTAGCTGGGATTATAGGCACAAGCCACCATGCCCAGCTAAATTTTGTATTTTTTAATAGAGATGGGCTTTCACCATGTTGGCCAGTCTGAACTACAGCAGTTTTGAACTACTGGCCTCATGATCTGCTCGCCTCAGCCTTCCAAAGTGCTGGGATTCCAGGCGTGAGCCACTGCATCTGGCCGAATTTTTCATTTTTAACCATATTATTAATGGTGGCATTAAAGTAGGCCCTGACGGGTTCTATGCTTCCAGATTCTCCCTTGATTTCCTCTCATAATGTATGAGACATGTGTGAGGACACAGCAAGAAAGATTCTCACTGTAATGGAAGCTTATATCTGAAAGATGTTGGGTGACATAAATGGTTTCTCCTTTCTCACCTGTCTCTAGACACTTGCAATACTGCCAACACTTTCCTTTCTATGGAAGCAGGAACATGAACATAAGCTATTTAACTATTTTATATTTTCTCTAGAACAATTTTTATATCTACTGATAAAATAAAAAATAGCTTGTCAGCTAATTAATAAATATCTCAAAAAGTATGTTTAGCACTCTCCTTTCCCTCAAAGTTGTTCTGGTTTGGACAATAAATTATATAGCCCCACTACTTTTTGGTTACAATTTTAAAGATTAAACTTGCCTATACTTCCTTTCCCCCTTGAAGTTGCCTAGAAAATTGCATTGTTGTAGCTCCTGTGGAACCAGATACAGAGACCATGTGTTGAGCATGCATGGTAGTAAGAACCACTAAATATGGATGTCTGGGAGAAGGCATGAAACACAGCCTCCCACCCGCCCTGGGTCCTTCCACTACACACTGTTACTCAAGAGAGAAATAAAGTACCGTGTTTAAGCATTGTATTTTGCTATCTTGTTGCTGTCTGTCTCCTAAGTAATATATTCCCTAAATAATAAAGATCAAACATTACTTGTACATATTATGTTAGAAGTGACTCATAGAGAACTTAGGCTTAACTGTACTTCTTGTGAGTAATTAGGGGGGTGTGTGTGTGTGCGTGTGCCATGATCTCGTTCTGCCACCCAGGCTGAAGTGCAGTGGCACCATCACAGCTCACTGCAGCCTCAACCTCCTGGGATCAGGCAATGCTACCCCTCAGTCTTCCAATTAGCTGAGACCACAGACATGCCTCCCAGTGCTCAGCTAATTCTTTGATTTTTTTGTAGAGATGGGGGTCTCACAGTGTTGCCCATGCTGGTCTTGAACGCCTAGGCTCAACCCATTTTCCCACCTCAGCCTCCCAAAATGCTGGGATTACAGGCGTGAGCCACTGCACCTGGACTGTGAATGATTAAGTTTTAAAGTTAATCATTAAGGTGAAAATCATGCAAAGTCAACAGTATCAGCATACTTCTATCGTTGAACCTAACAGAAGCCTGAACATTGGAACAGACTAATATTTAGTAGAGCATGAGATGAAGCAGTTTCTTGCAGTTTGGGACTATGTCGTGTGAAATATGTGTGTCACCTAAATATCACACTCAGAGCTGTGACATGTTCATGCTAGAAGTGACTCTGAGTCACTGAACCCAGATTCATATGCCTCATCTTTGATTCCTCCAGGATATATGGACCCATGATGGAATCATTTGCCTTTGATTGGTTATCCAAACTGTTCTCTCTTTTAGGACAGTATGACCATGGTATATTAGATAAAATCTGGAGGTCCTTTAACACTTGGCTTCTGTTGGGTCAGATATATTCTACCTCGTCATTTCCTAAAGTAATTGTAAAAGCTTTCTTCTTATATGTCCTCTAAATAAGAATATGAAACCATCCTGAATCATGTCTTGTTAAAATACTTGCAAGTATGTTGATTTTAAAAAACAATAACAATTGTAAGCTATAAGGAATATGAGACAGATGATATATGGCAAAGTATAACACTCTATACAATATAGATACTATAAGGTTACCTCTCTTCCTTTATGATTATTTGGTTTGTCACCTAGATATGCTGATTTATACTATTCTGTTTCTTCCAGATTCCAAGAGTTTGAGTCTTGAAATGCTTATGACTTCAAACCATTGCTCTTCTGTTTAGTGATAATTTATTTCAATTATGTTTCTAAGGGGTAAAAAATTGCTTGAGAATGGTTTAAACCTATAATATTGCTGAATCCCCAGCTGATTTTATCTTACCCCAGAGAGAAATTTCTTTGGCCAGGTGCCTGAGGGAATTAGTAGTCTGAAAACTCCTAATACTTAATATAATGTCAAGATATTCATACCTTAATACTACTTTTAAAAAATAAAAATGTGTCACAGACCTACGTGTCAGCTTCGGACAGGGGGCCTGCTAGTCTTGTCTGTCTTATTCCAGTTTTAGCACATGTGCAACTGAAGTGAGCATCTTAAGGACTGGAGTTCCTACACTGTAGTTAAGTGTTATGACAAGCTTAATTCTGTTTTATCTTTTCTTCCAGTACACAGTATTTTGGGTTTCCAGGCAACCTCAGTGGTTAACCAGGAACCCCACTTTTGAGAAGCTTTAAAAAACAACTTTTCTCTCCCTAAGTCCCCAAGGCTCTCAAATGTGCAGCTCAGACTTTCCTTGGCTTTCTCCAGAATAGTAAATTTCCTGACATGAAAAGAGTTCTGAACGCTAGATTCCCCTTTCTTACTTCTGGTCCTATCCAAATCGCAACCTCGTTGTTCCCTACTATCTCACTAGTTTACTGATGGTATTAATAAAACAAACCAAAACACATTATTTGTCATATTATTAGAAGCCCAAGATTGATGGCTTGATAATAATCCTATGTTGTATTATGGATAAAAGTTTGAAATTCTGTGTCTCATGGCCATGTTTAAAATAAACTGTTTTCATCTATTGCTTACGAGCAGGAGACTCCAGTGGCCTTAAATTTCCTCCAGCTAGACCAAAATTTAAACAGACTTCCTTCTGATGCTAGGGGCTTCATTTGTACTTTCTAAGATTACTCACCTAAGTAAAGGTGCAATCGCCTCTTTGAAATGTAAATCACCCGCTAGCCTCTGGCCAGTTTTACAACAGGGAAATGACTCTCCAGGGTCTGGGAGTTAACCCACTGAAATGTAATCCTCTAGAAAGATAACACACCAATCTTTTTTCAGTCTCTGTGAGGGGTTAGGAACCTAACTTTCCTAAACTTCAATTAGCAAACACAATGGCCTAATCACATTGACCAACCTCTCTCCTAAAAGCATGCGGATTTCCCTAGCTGATGCAAATTCTCCTGCCTTTTGTTTCAGCAGAATTGAATTCAATCTTTCTCCTCTATTGTGATAATCTTTACCTCTTTTGCAATAGTCTTAAATAACATTTTCTCCACCTCTTTAACACCATCTCTTGTAATTTTTGACATTTAACAAAACATTAGTTGTGGAAATTTACCCTTTTTTTCTCCATGGATTCAGCAGCAATATCTAAAAAAAAAAAAAAATCGTCAACCAATCTCTTATATATTTTTGATATAAAGGTAAAACACTGCAAACCAGTGGAACTGAATGTAAAGTAATTCAATTTTATAGAACACATCAGCGTTTTCAGGCTCTTAATTTTATTAAACATAAAAGGGCAATATAAATTCCTGTGGAATTCTCCGGTCACTTAAGAATTTTATTATGAGTGAATTAGTTTAACAAGGCTGTTTGGTAGAGGGTGTGGTTGCATTCAAAAATTAGAATGGGAACAACGACTTGTAAAAATTAAACATTTTAAACTACCACTTATCATATTCACTGTGTCTATGATTTGACATATTTCTTTCGATGGCCACAAAATTTTAAAACGGATACAAAATAATATCTTCAAGAAATTAAGAAAGTTTTCTTCATAAAAAGATTATAAATATAATTCAAATGGGCATGACACTTTTACTAAATAGATTGGCTTTTTGGCTTCAAAGAACCCATTTGTACATCTAAATTAATTTTGGGCAATATGTGTGAGTGCATGTGCGTGTAGATGTGTGGATGTAAATGGCAATAAAGGGGAAGGTGGAAAAAAAGAGATGGCCTTTTTTAACATAATTTTAAAATACACAAAACATACGTACTAAAAACAAGGATGTGGTGAAAACTAAGTATTGCGAACTAGAAAAAAAAGACTTGTAACTGGCATATTTAAGACTTTAATATATATTATTAAATATATAGCAAATATAAATCTTATACAATTTAGCTCCTGTATCTCCCAGTCTCTATGAGAGGTTTCGAATCTAACTTTCCTCACTTAGTAAACACATCTGGCCTAATCACATTGACTAACCTCTCACCTAACACCATGCAGCAGGTGTCAGGAGCTCACACAAAACTCTCCTGCAGATATGTTTTATTTCAACAGATATCTTTTATTTCAACAGATATGTCAAACGTTACAATGATACAATAATTGTGTAAGATAATATTAGATTGACTCTCAGAATCACACTCAGCTTGATTACCAACCTTTCTGCTGCATCTTACTCACCTATGTCTTCTGTGCATTATAGTATAAGTTATTGTAATATAGAAATATGGACTTCCTTTAAATTCCACTTTCTGCCTAAGAAATACCAATTTTTTTGAGTATGGTAAGTGTTTCAAAGCATTCAAAAATGGATAATGTAGGAAATATACTGCAAAACGAGGTCTGATTCTTATCCCCTTATTCTTAATTGTTCTTCCTCTCTCATGTCTCTCTGTTTCACTTATGAGTATAAAATATTATTTTCATATATTAAAATTTATAGAAATAAGGTATTGACTTGATCACCCAACCAATCATTTATTTGAGTGTACATTAAAAGTCAATTTGTAATCTTGAGAACAGCTCAGGAAACAAATGAATGGTTGACTTTGACATACATAACAGAAATACCAACATATCACTAAAAACATCATACTTCTGACAATTCAGGTTCTTATGTAAGCTTGTAAGGTTAGAATTTATCATTACAAAAATCATTTTATCAAGTCATTCTTGAGACAGAAAAGTAGAATTAGATCATGTATTGCTATTTCAGTAGCTAAAATTTTAAGTAGTGTTTTTAATCAACTGACAGACATGTAATTCTTAGTTTTACATACCGATATTCATCAAAAATTAAAAACTTTGAAAATTATTTCTGTCTCATTCTACTAATCAATTTAAACATTTCAATTATTTCATTATGTTTCTTCATTTTTCTTGACCTTGAACACTTCTTTCCAGCCCAGTATTAAATTTAATTAATGTCTAATTTGTTTACTTGGTTTAGTTACTTTTGACCATGTTTGGTACATGTCTTATAAAGCAGGCACAGTCCTAACTCCTCCAAATTCCTAATGGCCATACCCCAAGACACATACCACAATGTAAACACACACACACACACACACACACACACACACTGCAGTAGATCAACACATAAGATACTCTGCTGGCAAAACATCGTACATCAGGGATCTCTCAGTGTACTACCCACTTCTGTAATTTATCAGGACTGTTCAATTGAGGTGAGTCTACAGAGATTCCTACGGCAATTTGAGTGCTAAGCTATCTAACTAGTGGTTAGACACTATTTGAATAATGCACTAAACATAACTCTTGAGGCTCTGAAGAATTTATGTACTTTCCAAAGAACAAGAAGTTACAAAATCCTGAATAACACAAATTTCTTATATCCTTTAATAGAAAAAGGAAAGCTGATATCAATATGAATATTATGAATATACTTTATATTTACTTCTATGTGTGTCAATTTTTCTTTGTTTGTAATACATATTTTTATGTTACTGGGAGTAAGAAACATCTAAGGAAAAAGACTACAAGAAATAAAATTTTCATTGTTAACACTGTGCTTTGGTCCAGTAACTCTGCACTGCACATATAGGCTATAAATTGGTGTCTTGGGGAACCACTTTGGTATTTCATTTTAATAGCTCATTCTGGAGAATATATTTGAGCAGTTCATGTATTACAACTGATTTAAATTTTGTCCCATAAAGAAATGAGTTTTCAAAAATATGTCTGAAGCCTGGATACTGTAAAATCCTTTATCATCATAGGATAATAAAATGCTAGCCATGAGTTACTCAGAAATTGTTCAATAAATCTAAGATGACTTAGATATAAATAGTTATGAGTGAATATGGCTCATCATTAATGTTTGTAAAAATTAATACTGTCATTTATGATTGACAATAAAAAACTAGAAACGTACTTTGATAGACATAAATGATAGATATAAACTTACATAAAGCAAGAGAATAATAGATGTGTTAAAATATTTGTTTTATAGATAAGGATTTTGGTGAAATTGTGTTCAATAATATGAATCAAATGTGTTTTGTATACTACATCAGCAGTTACATCATTACAACCTTTTAAATATTCCATTAACTTCAAAATGTACTTATCACTGAAATAATCTGATTAAATGAATTGTGATAGTGGATAAGGATTGGTGTAAGCTGAAAACAATACTATACTTCTTTAAAAATTATGTTTCTTTGTGTATTACCTGAGAGAAGATGGTCAATAAATTAATTACCGCACAATGCCTACCATAATACTTAAACCTGAAAGGAAAGCAGTAAATGTTTACTTTAGTAATTACTAAATTACTAAAATTGGTGAATTGCTTTCATTTTATACTGTTTCCTGTTCATTTCAGGGTATACCCAAATCTGCAACTCTAAATAAGGCCCAATTATTTCCTCCTTCAAGTGGTACAAGACTCAAGAAGAAAAACAAAAAAGTTATTTTGTATATTCTAGTCTCTATCTGCTCCAAATCACACTAACTTTTCTTGAGTGTGGTACAAGTACTGATTTCAAAGGCATGGTTACCATTGTCACCTTCTCTTGTGCCTTGAGGCTTAAGCTTCCTGATTTACTTGAATTAATTTGGAAAAGTCCCATTTCATGATACTGTAAGCAACCCAGATGTCTTTCACTAAAAGTGGTAATCTTCCTATGTTATTTTTTTCCAGAAAACGATATCAACCTCTACCTATACCTGAAATCTAAATGTAATTCTTGACATTTCCTTCTTCACATTTCCATTTCCAATTACCAAGTCTTATCAGATTTTACCTTCTCTATATTCTTGAATTTTTTTTTTTCTCTTTCTGTCTTCATTGCTATCATGGAATCTAGCCCACCACTGTCTCACCTGGGCTATGGTGAGCACGTCTAAAGTGCTCTCCCTGATTCTCTCTCCAAAAAAATTTTCTCTGCTATATCCAGATTGACTTACTTGAAATGCAAATACAATTTACATTGCAAATTGCTCTGTTTAAAAACTCCCAAAGGCTTCACATTGGTAATAGGATGAATATCAAGAGTCCAAAATGGAGTTCAAGCAGTGCAAAATCTGTTCTTTGTATTTCTCTCTCCCCTCCTC